TAGCTTGGACTAACCTTGTTGCGCTTGTTGGTCTCGTGCCAGCCGCTGAAAATCCTCAAGGTTTAGGGTTTAGGCTTTCGCGATTTGTCCGCCTCTGGGTCGGCGGACTGAGCCGGAGGCTCTTAAGTTGATTGTAGTTTATTTGATTACGATTTCAAATCGATTTGAAACTGTTTTATGATGTCGATTATCTGTAATTGCTTTTTATTTTTTATTAGATTCCATCAGTTAATCGATTGTTATTCGAGCTTGATTAGATTTGAAAAGGATCCTATTATATAGCCCCCCTAATGGCGGGGTCGTACGATAGATCCCCCCCGCCCTAACATTAAATACGCGTTGGAGTATATGTGTTAGGGGGGGGGTGCCATTTAGCATTAGGGCATTAGGGGGAAAGGGTTATTCCAGCTGGTTTTGCAGGAAGAGCATAATAAGCGCTGCTGTACCTTGAAACAATAATGCCCACAACAAGGCTCAGGGAGAGCATATACGCTGAACACCGCGCAAGTCGCGCTGAACCCTGGAGGCCCTCTCTCTGTGGCGGGCATCCCGCAATCTTTACAAAGGACAAGTGCTTACCTTCTTGAAGGGCAGACTTGCGGGTTATTGAATTGTGGGACAGCTGCCCAATGGTCTTTGACCAGGCCTCCATGGCAAAGCTCATGAAGGCGAACACCTGACATGTTGGCCAAAAAACACACTAGCAAGCTTTACTAGCTTAGCGAGAGGCCTCCAGAGGCGTCCGCAACCTGGAGGCCAGAATCATCGCAGACAAGATCGACGCGTTCAGGGCAACGGGGCCGCCAGGCCTGTCCAAAAATGGCAGATACAAAGTCCTAATCTGATTTCATGCGATACAGCGATGCGAACTCAAACTGGTCAGGCCCACAGAAAGACTGCCGATGTTTCTTCCTCATGCAGACCTGACCAAGTTGATTCTGCCGAAGATGTATCCTGGCACATGAGAAAGACAATATGAGAAACAAGTCAAAAACCTGTGACAGACCAGGGTCACCAGCGGCTGGCAACATCGTTCGAAGTTGAAAAAGCAACAATCCAAGACGGGTCGCACCGCATAATCGTAGAGGACCACATGCAAAACGAGCAGGACGGTGGCAATCGTGCCGATTGTGTCATCACCTGGGATCTCAGGAGCTGTTACGTACGTTGCACACACATTACCATAAATGCAAGAGACATCTGAGAGTCTGCTTTCTGATCGCCCACAGTACATCAAGATGTCGTATCACAAGGAGCTATGCCACGCCTAAAATACGGTTTAGGGTGCTTATACATTCTGGGACCCAACAAAACACCATAAATCAGACAGCGGAGTGCGGCCAAATCATCTTGGGCTGCCATGCATCTACCAAGCTTCAATGTGCAGCGTCTGCAGATCCTCCACCCAAATAGCTCGATTTAGACATAACATTCGGGTCTGATCTCCGAAAAGACCTCCATCATACTTAAACTCTTGCATGACCCTACATACTTCATGCTATCTATGTCTTGCCCGACTGCTTCCAAACTTTCCATTTACAGGCAGGTTCCAAGTTGGAAAACACTCGATCCCGTCCTTCCACCTCGTGACATTCAACTTTCATTGAAAGATTCGGATCTGGACTGATGCAGTACTAGATACTGCTCAAAGGCCATCAGTCTTATGTCAGGCATCAGGTCTGCGGACCGAGCCTTCGTAAACCTAGATAGAAGCAGAGCTGGGCTGACACAGCGCCCTGGCCGCAGCTTCATTGGGGAGACCAGAACGGTTCGTTGCCTGCTTGCTTGAATCTTCCTCAGCTACGCGATTGCTTGGCCTTTCGGATGTCCCTGCATTGCCAATGTGTGATAAAGAAAATCTGTTCGGAACCCTCAACTCAATTGCTGGCATCTCTGGTCTGCAAGAGACCTAAGTTCTGGGGGTCTTGCTCCAGCTGCGTGTCAAGGCTTGGAGAAAAGGTGCGAGAACCTTGCAGCTCATGAAAGTGCCTGACAAATCTCACGTTCCATTAAAAGATAAGACCCCAGCTCCCAGCGGAAAGATGATGGTGCAAGTCTGCGGAATTTGCAACATAACCTGAGTGCGGAACCAAAATGGAACGAGATCAGCCGACACCTAAGTGGCATCCTGGCCTTGAAGCTGCACGACTCTGTGCCTTTTGTCAGCCTATGCAGCCTTTGGGCTTAGTTACCTGCTTCAAGCTCGTCGTGCTGCACGTGCCATGAATACAATCTTGCAAAAGATGTTGAGGCCTGAACTTCCCCGAGACGCACAAGTGGTTTATTGGTGTGCTGGCCTGTCGCGTGATGCTTACAAAACCGGCCAACTCTTACACAGACACATGTTCAAACTAGTCGGCGCACAGACATTGCAGCAAAACAACATCACTCCGACTGCCGCAAGCAATCGAAAGTCGTTGTTGAGCTGCACCTTCCACCAAACCTGAACACGCACAACACGCGTATATCTATTGTATAAATCGACTGAAGCCATGTTCCCTGCACTCGCCAAGGGTGCTGCATTGACAAAGATGACAACTAGGCACAGCTGCCGCAGAATTGATGCTGTGCTGCAACAAAGCGTCTGCAACCTTCCGCGCATCACACTTGCAACTACCCATGATCGAAACAAAACACCGAGTCAGCAGCTTGTAGGAAGTAACATTGGCATTCAGCACCAGGGAATCCAAGAAGGAATCGTCCACGTAGTTGTCTTCGAAAGGCTGCTGAAGGTACCTGGCATGAGGCATAAACAAACCAGGATCTTGTCTTCGTTTTTCCTTCTCCCTAGCCTCCCGCGCAGACCAGGAAAAACAAACACACTACAACGAAAACGCGTCCCGCTCCCTAGTTGGACCAAGGTCATTGCTGGGAGGGGTGCTGAACTATACAAGAGCTTCAGCCAAACCCCACAAGATCCCGCAAGACCCATGCTGGTAGCTGGAATGCAGAGCTACAAGAAAAAGACGCGCTAGTTGCACAACACTCTGCTCCAAGGCATGAAGCTCTGCAGCTGCTCGTGAATCTCACGTTCACCAACTTCACCAGGGGCTCTTGGGCACCACAAAAAGAACCTGGGATGATTCAGCACCGTAGCTGGCAACACAAATGTTGCGCCTTGCCAGCCATGCCTTTCTGTAGGAGTTCTCTGTTCTGAGCTGAGGAGTAGGCGGACTGCAACTTCAGACTGTCAGCTGTGGTCGCTTGCATGGAAGCTCCCAGTGCAAACTCATCAGCGTCTCATGCTGATTTGCAGCTCTGTTTGCGTGCCTTGTCATGGCATAGCAGGCAGCTTCGGCAACAGCTAACAGGCGATGCAACCATACTGCTAGCAGGCTCTTGCTACGATGTTGGCATTGCATACAACAATCAAACAACAGACTGGAGCAGAAGGTGCGGCAACCAGGGGCGAAGAGAAGCTGAGTCTCATGCCACAGGGGATATGCAACATACGCAACACGTAGGCTCTTCTGCGCAGCTCGTTTCCAGCCACGCGCTTGTGGCTGCAAGATGCCATATTCCTCTAAGACGCTCGTAGCTTCGAAAGCTTCTGAGCTCCTAGCGGAAGCGACCAGGGCCGTCAGGCCCAGTCGCAGCTCATTAGCCAAGACGAGCAGCAAGTGCTTTTTCATTGTCAAAGAGTTCACCAACTGTGGTTCCAGACATGTTTATGTCGCTGGAGCGGGGAGGTACATTTCGCCACCTGCCGTCTGGCTGCTCTACTTCTTGATTGGGATTTGTAGTCCCACGACGAAATTGGAGGCCGGAAGGCTCAGTTCTTTTAGATACCTGATCGCCACAAACATCCCGCAGATGCTCACCTCTTGGCGTACAGAGTGCATGCATCTTTGAGTAAGTGCAGCGCTTCTCCGTAGGTGGAACGATGTAGATGTAGTAACTAGGAGTCTGCACCAGTCCTGCCACGAGGCCCCTTGCTTTAGTCTGGAGAAGTAGGCGCATTGCCCGGTACCATCCAGTGCCTACACGCTGCTTCTCAACGAAATAATCACAAAGAGCATCATACCTCCACCGAAGCAGGAGGATTTGCTAGTGGCGATCCAGCAAGCGATATGCAACAAGAGTAAGGCAAAGGCGCCGCACAGTCACGCCTGCAACTTACAAAACGTTCATCTTCAAGCACCGTGTGGCATGCCATGGCAACTCAACAAAACCAGCCTGTCAGCAGCGGAGAAATGCCACACTGTAGAAAGAGCCCCAGCTCGATCCATGTGTGCTCGACAGTGATCAATCTGTTGGGCAGCATGACGGAATAGAAAGAACAAGTTCAGCACATTCCAGATTTACATTTGACTTGCTACATCTTGCAGTGCTTCGAACCTGGGGGTGGGGTGGGGGAATGTCTTTTTTCGGGAAAGCATGCAAGTCTTCTGCGATCAAGCCCCTAGTCATAGTCTTCAAGAGAACTCAATATCAACGCAGCAGACCCAGCGCCTTCGTGCGCTGGTCGATCTGCAGCTTGTTCGTTAAGGACTCTGGGCTCTCTTTGCCTGGTCATCTCAAAGCAACAGCACCCAAGACCCAAGGCAACAAAAAGCTTGACGCAAAGATCTGCTTCAACACCACTTAGCCAGAGACTATCTCAAGTATATTCAGCATTGGACGACAAAACGGTAAATATTCCTGAACCAAGGAGTGATAACATCCTCATGGTTCACACTGATTCAAAGAAAGAGTTAAACACAAGCTCGGGTTGCCCCATGCTGCACGGGATCCCAGTCAAAAGCTCCATTCTGCATGATGAATGAATCAACTGCAACTTTGAGAAATACAAAGAAGTCTCGTCTGACAGGCTGTGCTGTAACATATATACTCGGACAGTGCCCTACGCTGAAGATACTTGGCACTTCTGTGCAGCATAGGCCTTTGACGAAGTTGGCCACAATGTTGCAGCAGAACTCCCCCATCTTGTAGAGCTTAACTTTGAACTGCACAGACTTGGGGCTGGCTGCAGGCATTTGTCATGACTGATCAAACCACCCTCCACGAAGGTAAGGCCTTGGTGTTGCGGGCATCCGGCCTCGGCTCGCCGGAGTCACTACACAAACAGGCTGGTAAAAGTTGGCCCATGGCTCTGCATCTACTTTGGAACCTTAGCTGCGGGATGGATGCAAAAATCTAAGGCGCTGGTCAGCTGGTGCTCAGAGCCGTGCTTTCCTTGTCCTTTTTTTTGCCCTGCAGATGAAGAATTTTGAGGGATTCGACGATCTGAACAGGAAACCGCCTGTCTCGGACTTCTCGAGGCTGATTCCCGTCGCCCGCGATTTTTCTTAGACCGCCTGGCATCGGTGCATGTCGTTGACCCAACATGCCAGAGCTCTGCTGAGTCATCGACTCGACTAGCCGCGCTCCCGGCACAGCCTCAGCCAGATGTGAGCGGCTCGTCGGCAGATCTCGTGGACAGGACAAGGTTCAGGCGCCAAAGGCATCTGAGTTTCTCCAATGGTCCGAGTCCTGGCATTGAAAACTCTCCAAGCTCTGTTCCAAGCTTTCAAACAGGAGCAGGCCCCACCCGAGGAGGACCTCAACAGATCAAAAGACGTACTGCAACAGTCTGGCTAGCGCAAGAAAGCAGCAGAGGTCTCTACGCGGCCAAGGCCCTGCATGGGGCATTGGAGGCATGCCAGGCATACCCCAGGCACCGATGCCTGGGGGCCTGCTGAGTGTCTGCAGATCTCACCAGTCTATCTGCTCAGCAAAACTAGTTTTCAAGGCCCTAGCGGCGCCCACGGTGGACGAGGGCCCCATGGCCTGATTTCCAAAGGGAGTAAAAAGGCATGCGTCACCTGCAGCTAAGCCCAGTGTTGCTAAGGGTCAGACGGCATGCCAGGCATACCCCAAGGTGGCGGCGGCCACGTGGGCGCGCCGCCCCACATGCCAAAGGCCTTTTTCGGAATTCAGGCTAATCCCAATTTGACATAGAAAGCAGGCCCTGAGCTGTTGACGTCTGGCGGGGCAGCTTGCGCATCTACATCATCGACGAAATCGATGTTCAGGTACCTTTGGATGTCTAGTTCAACCGTTGAGACGAGTTATACATGCATGAACGAGCCATCCCCATCAAGCCGAGTGACTGGTTCTTTTGGACCTCCAAACCATAGAGGCTATTCCTAGCGGCGATCGAGCAACTCACCTGGTGGCATTTAGCGATGCAGTCTTGCTCATGAGTTTTGGACATTCCATTGTGAACTGCGTGTGTTTCAATCCAGCCTCGCCGTATGTGGCAAAGGCACATGTGCGAGCGGGAAGGTAGCGCAAGCCGTGCAAGACTTTGCCATACCTCAACACGCAGCAGTAGGCTGGTAGCGTCCCTAAGGCCTTGCTGCAACTGCATGAGCAGCCTGAGGCTGGCACGTGGCTAGGACGCTCTCAAGCGATTTCCGCGGCACGAAGTCATCAACGTTTCCGAGCCACAACGTTGCTGTGGCCTGCATCCAGAGAAGTATCATATGTCCTTGAATGTCTGGGAGCAATGGCCGCACGACGTGGAGCCTTCCGAGGTGGTGCAAATGCAACCGTCAAGTTCTTGTGATTCCTGGGCCGAACCCAAAGACAGAATCCGCAGGAGCAAAAGGTCAGAAGGGATACCAGAATCATAGCCTTGGGCTTCTGCTGCTCGCACAAGCGATGCATTGCGGCTGCTGCAGTAGCGCTGCGCAAAGTAACATGTGCGACGGGCTTGCCGAAGCAAGTCAGCATCTCCACCTGCGGTGCCCCAGTGCCCCCCTCTCCAAACTTTTCCATGTTGAGCGTCTTTCCCTCACAATCCCTCATGGACCATCATGGACCTACGGCTAGAACCTGCACCCCTGTGCTCCTGTCAGAAAGAATTATGCACTACCGTTGCTTAGCTCCGCAGGGTGCTGATGTAGATGGGCAGGACTGTACACTGGCAATGCGCCTGCACAATGTCCTTCTGCACTGGCTGCATCAGTCGCCAAATGTTCTCGCCTGCAGTTGCATTTTCTGGCTACATCAGCGGTAGCAAGTGCCAACGTGGGTCAACACTGGCCGCCTGTCCGCAGTTCGGGCGGGAGTTTGCCAAGAACAAGATATCGATTATACCTCCAAGATTGCAGGCATGAGGCGAAAAGCTCAGCCTGGAGACAAAGCGAGACTAAGGCGCTTGCATGCCCCGTCGGGGCATCTTCATGAAGTCTTCAAGCTGCTCCTCGAAGCTTAGTCCTGAAACGTAGCATAGCACATTGAGAGCTGGCAAACCTGCAAATCAGATCGCAACACATGACTAAGAGCTCAGCTGTCTGACCATCTTGAAATGGGCTTAGAAGGAGGCGTTAGCTTGCTGGCCTGTGCAAAACAGATACTGTAATCACTTGCAACCTTCCATGCGGTGGAGCAGATTTCCACTGTTCCAAGTACCAAGGTATACATCTTATCTTTAGCTTTAGACCACGCAGCGGTGGCACATGTAATGCCCAGGAAGCAGGCATGTGTGGTGCAACCTAGGGGACGTTTCTTGCAAGTCTTACAGCCTACCAAGCCTTGCAAGCTTGCAAACCTTTTGCCACGCGAAGGCCCCAGCTTTCTTGCTGCAGTCATCTTTTTGTCCACTGCGAGGTGAAATTCCAGATTCAATGAGCTTAAAAGGTGTATGTCCTGGCGCTGAGCTGAGGACTTACTTAGCCGCCCGTTTCACACTGTGCGCTGCTGATATGGCACCTTGATTGCCCACCTCATATTCCATTCCAAGTAGATGTATCTCAAGTGCCACCCACCCGCCGTCTTGCCGTTTGCCAGCCTTCTCCCTCATGCTCCGATCATCAGCCCTGTCACAACACCTGGGTTTTGGTTTGGCTCTGGATGCCAAAAGCCGTCTTTGCCTCGCTATACACCTGAATCACAGCTGATTGGCCTGCTCGTTGGTGAAACGAGCCGGGATGCAAGGTGGCCGCAAAACCGAAAAAATCATGGTAAGATCCCCAGAGATGAGATTGAGGAATGTGCTGACGCACCAAGGGCAACAAGTTGTGATGTCCAATTCTGACTTGCAGACAGCCAGTCATCGAGGACCAAGGGTCCAGCTGCATCTGCTTGTTGGCCACGTGCCTTTTTGGCAGGTGCAACCTCGAGCTGGGCTAGCTTTTCTTCCCAAATCTAAGCAGGCAGTCAAGAGAGTACAGACGTCTGGAAGCCTCTTCTTCGTTTTTCTTCTTGGGGATCAATCCCTGGCACAGGGTAGTTTTTGAATATGGTCATATCTGGCAGCGTTGGCGGCCTCATCTTTCTCCGATTGAAACGCTCGGAGGCCACGTCCTGGAGTGCACGGACCGCTAAGCCAATAGGTCGGAACTACATATGCGTAATGTTAACAGATGCTACCTGCCTTTGTTGTTGCCGGCGCTTCCAGCCCTGCACAGGGTCATAGAAGTAAGCCAAGCAGCTGTCTGTGCTTGCAGACCCTGGTGAGCTTGGTAAGCCCCAAACCCATCTTCAGCATCTTGCCTTCTGCCCTGGGCAACTTTTGCGTGTGCGGCTCCAGCGTTCAAGACCAGTCTAACATGAAAATGCAAGCAGCTGAGAAGCGAAAATGAGGCTGGCTGATTTTGAAATCCCAGCTCCGCCCATCCCCAGCATGAGTAACTCAGTCCACCACACGCTTTTTTGCCCGGTTGTAATGGTCTGCATCTTGGGGACCAAACCTGGTGCAACGCATGGATTAAGAGCATTTTGAATGTGCTGCTTGTATTGCTTGTGCATACTTGTGCTGTGGAGCTGAGACCATGGCTCTATAACGATGTCGGGACCAAGCGTCAGCTTCTGCTTTGCATCGTAAGCCTCTCAAGTCTCAAGCTGCGATGCAAAACAAGTGCCTCAAATTGCTTGGTCTGCAGCCCACCTCGCTAGTTCGCGAGAACTTTGCCACCACAGTGCCGTCTTCCTGCTGAAGGTCAGCAACCTCCGACCAGCGCAACGCTTGTGCGCACAAGTTCAGTCAGTGGCTGTACTGCCAGCAGCCGTTCTGTCTTGCTGACCTCCCCGAAACGCTCTAACCGGATCTTCAACTCGTCTAGGTCCTTGCGACGCAATACAAACGCAAAGACTTACACACAGCAGCTTTCTCAAAGGCCACAACAGCTTCAAGACCAGTGCCACTCACTGACTTGACACGTCTGAGAAGCTAGCCACATCACTTGCAAGGCCCCGAATATGAAGAGTGTATGACCTTATTGGCACCACATAATGTCAAAGCAGGAGCAAGCTTGGTTCGGGAGTTCAGTCCCTGAGCTCATGGCGGTTTGCCTCCACCTGCTTTTGGAGGACTATGCAAAAGTACTCGCTACCTAAGGGCCGCCCGACCTTTTTAACATGACTGGTCAAGAACTGCGCAGAAAGCCCTCATATCTGCAAGGACTACCCGTTTCAGGATGCCTATGTTCAACCACGGGACGAGACGCCAATGCAACGAAAGCCAAATCACGCAAGGAGCACCTTCTTCCTTTGTGTCGGGTTCCTCCTCGCAGCGGCAAAAAGACAACGTCGCGCACTGAAAGCTTTCAAACGGACTGAAAGCTTCCCGACTTGGGGTGCACTCCTTCTTTGTGGCAACAGTCTCAACTTTCTGCTCAACCTGTGCACGCTACGGGGAGCTGGCCAGCATTAATCAGCTTGGAGGTGCACCGAAACTTCTTTCTGACATATACTTGTAGCACAGGGCCTCCTTGACCTCCTCCGTTTCATTCACTGCCTCAGCACTGATCTGAGCAAGCTTCCAGAACGCCGAACAACCGCTAGATCAGCCATTGTTCATTGCAAGCCTCTGCAGCATCGTCTGCTTTGTCTGCAGTGTCTGCAGCAGTGTCTGCGGTGATGTCCGCATCAGCCTAGAAGCAGGCGTTGCGCAAACATTTGTGGCGTTAGCAGTAAAAATGCCAACCTGTTTTGGCTCGTCATCCTCAGACTCGGAGTCTGCCATGACAGGCAGATACTCCGGTGTCTTCTACCCGGCTGGAAAGTGGGCGGCGCGACGAAAAAGAGATATGCTCATGGCTGGGGGACTGAGCAGACCCAAGCTCACTGTCCACATCTTCTTGCCACGTTTTTCTCGCGACACACACGTAAGAAGTCCGCCCCTTTTCAGGGCGAAACTTCCCAGTGTGAGATCAGCATCAAACGTGAAACGCTTCTGAGGCATTTATCAGAAGACCCACGTGCACCACTGCTTGCAGTTCTCCGTGAAGCGTGGCATGCATTCCCTTGCAAGGTTCCTCCATCCTCACACAAAGGAAAGTAGATGCATCAGTTGCATCGTCTGCCTTAGCATTCGATGTGGCTTCAGCGATGACACCGTTTAAGACGAAACCGCTGGCTAACTCCTCAGCCAGCTAAGAACATTGTAAACTGAAATGAAACCCCATGGCTGAAGACATCGGTGGGTACCCTGAGCCTTGTCCCGGCTTGTCTCAAATTTACCTTTAGCAGTGGTTTGGAAGAACCAGACGTCTAAGGCAGAGTTCTGGATTTGAGAAGGCCGCCCTGAGAGAGCTCAGAACTCGAGCTGCTTCTCCGCCCCTTGAGTATCTCATTTTTTATCACTTGCCCCGGCTCCAAGCCCAAAAGCAAATCAAGCAGTTGAACCCCTGCAATCTCCAAATCTACTTTTGGGATCTTTTGGGCTTCTGGACCTTTGAATTCGAAATACGTGATCACAGACAGCTTTTGACCAAAACATCACGGTACCTTCTCTTCCTTCTCCATTTCCTTCATACTGCTTCTCCTCCTGCTGGCCCCCTCCACCCGTAGTTGTCTTCTTCTCATCCTTCTTGCTTTCGACTTCATTCTCCCAAGGTCTTGATTCGCTTCCTTCTTGGCCGGGAGAAAGTCCTAGTCTCCGTCCTGCATGTCTAAGCACATCCCCATAAGGCACTGCTTTCAGGAAAGGTTGACCGTGCAAAGGCTCTGCATCTTCCTTTCCCTCTCTCCCGTGCCCACATCCAGAAAGAAGCAGAACATCACATGCAGACGACATGTTTGCGAACGACTCACACCGGCCGGCTGCTCAAGAGGAACGTACTTTGCCCTGCCCGGCCCCGCGCAGGGCCTAACACATGAACACGCTTGCATGTATCACGAGCATTGAGTCTTGCAACCGCTACCTTTTGGCGGACACAACGCAAGACGCAAGCTTGATCACCAAAAACGTTCCAAGTCATTGTGCCACTAATTGTCACGTCCTCCACACAGAACCCCTTGGGCAGTGGCCGCACGGCCTCCACGAAGCGGACAGTAGATGTCCTCGGTACAAGCATCGAAGGCAGCTACGCATAAGAATAACAAAGCAAGCGAGGTCGCCACGTCACTTCCAATCGTTGAAGCTGCTCGGAATGAGCGGGTCCAGGCGATGGATGCTTGTCCTGAGGAAGGAACTGATCAAGCCAGTCCCTACTTTACCCTTCTGAGGTTGGGACGAAGCAAAGATAGAGGCTGGCATGCGTTACATGACCCGGAGCCATTGCCTGCAGCGTTTGGCATTATCCTGCTCCCCTCCCGCTTCTCAGCACCACTGCCTCCCGACAGGGGGAGATGCCCTCCCGTGACCTGCCATCCGTGTCTCTCTACACTTAAGCACCAACACCTCTTCGTGAAAACATTCTTGCCTAAAACAGACAGGCAGAGATTCAGGCTTTGAAGAGCTGTCTATCATGAAAGGCTGCGACTCCAAACAGTCTTTGCCGAGCCGGGACCGCTGTACAAAGCAGCACTTGTCCGGGAAGAACATAAGTGCTTGGTAGTCGTTATCGCCATCGGGGTCCATGGGATTGAACACCTGGCAAAAACTCACGCACAACATGCTGACAAAAGGTCTCATATGTTTTGCCTCATGCAGCTCATTTTCTCGAATGCGGACAAGGGCTCGCTCGGCAGGCAAGTCCTGAATGTCCGTGACGCAAGCTCAGTAAATCACCCTTAAGTCCCGAACCACCTCATGGCTAGTGGTATCCTTGTTGTGCACCGATGAGGCGATGTCGTAATAAGCAGCTATCTCGCTGAGATCGGAGTACGCACGCGCCTCACATTGCCAAGCTGCTGAACCACAAGCTTGGATGAACTGAGTGCATGATGCCTGCGTTTCTGGGTGCTTCGGAGTGTAGCCCTCGAGCTGGTCCGCATCCGCATTCTGCAGAAACGCACAATGAAGCAGCTGTGAGCTGTGAGGTAGTTGCAATGCCATTTGCCTTGGGCATTAGGTTCAGGCCGCACTCTCGCAGCTCGTTCAGGAGGGTGGCAGGGCCTGAGATTCTAGGCCCTCCGAATATATCTGCACATCACTGCACACTGACTGTGCATGTCAGGGCTGAGGAGGGCTGAGGGAGGGACTGCGCACTCGAGGCCGGCGGCCGCTTGGCCCACTGAGCCCTCCCGCCTAGCACTGCACGATGCAGGGGCTCGTGGCCTGCATGTCAGGCTCGTGGTCTGCCTCGCCGCTGCCAGCTTCGAACCTGACAACAATCCGCTTGCCTCCTCCTACTGCACCTTCCACAAAACATGCCGCGGCTGCATCACGTCCAGAAGTTCAGGTAGCTGAGGCCCCTTTAGCCTGCTCAACCAGCAAGCAACTTCCTGACTTTTATGAGTAGCGTTTGGATCGGCCTCAACCCATCCTCCGAGATCATGAAGCGAAGCTCGTATCTGTTAGCCTGTGGTTCGGGGAAGCTGATTACATGTATTGGCTCACTTGACGTGCGTTTCGAGCCTGCACAGTCAGCTCCACGGTAAGGTCATCGCAGGGCCTGGCTCTCATCTGTCAAAACAGCTCAGACAAGGTCTCAAAGCAATCAGCGAGCAGCACCTCATGTTCCAGTGTTTGTAGGGCAAATCGATGTGTCTCTCCTGACAAGATGCCGCACTCACAGCACAACTCGACAATAGCACGTCTGCAAGCTGTGGGCCTGCGTAATGGAAAATGATGCAAGCCGTGCCGTGAAGAAGGAGATCTTCCGCGTGTCCTGCATGCATACAACTGCAAACAATAGTTGCTCTCTGTCGGTCCGCGGCAACAGCGGCCTCCTCCCAGGTGATTTCGCTTATACCCTCCGTAGACCAGCGCTCTAGAGATGCCTCAGATACCCGCAGCGCTGACAGACTGATCCGCATCTGGCCTGCAACCTCTTACGTGGTGCAGCCGCAACGGCTAAGCTGCAGGCATCCCACCAGGAGACCACAGGATTCTTGCTGACTAGCACATGCGCGGGCACCTCGAGAAGTGGAAGTCCCTAAGTTGCGCAACTGCTCACACTTCACCATTCCAGTCCGCGGAGCCCGGAGGCCTGGGCGTCTAGAGTCTAGATCTCAGAGCCCCAACTGCAGAGTCGTTCCCACCCCTTTTGTTTTACCACCCTCCCAGGACGTGTGATTGGATCTGGTGTTGTTCGGCCATAAGGCCTAGATGAGGTTCATGTAGGGGCCCTGCCGATTCCTCACATTGAAAGATCACAAACCAACCCATAACCAGACCTTCGTAGCTCATACAGCTTCTGATTCGTGTCGCTGTCGGACCCCTCGCCCCTGAGGTGGTACTCGCGGCAGCGACTAAATTCCAAAGAACCTGCCTTGTAGTCAATCTTACAGGGTGCAGCGATGGCTGTGCTAGCCTGCAGCGGAATCATTTCAGGAGCCATGCGATGGTTGCAGCTACATAAACAGGTCAGCGATGCAGTAGTGTGTTCCGTGTTGGGATATGGCAGCTTCATAAGCTCCTCGAAGACAGCGAAAACAACGTACAGGTCTGCATCAAGTGTTTGTTTGCCTTTGGCGGTCCTTCCCGGGGGCTGGAACCTGGCGGATCGTCCAGCCTTTCACCTTCTTGCTGAATGGAGGGATCGACAGCAAGTCCACCTTAGGTAAAAACGTAATATCATCTCTTCTTGGGAGTCGTCTTTACTGAAAATCTCTGCGTTCCAAGCACGCGGCTCTGATCATGCCGCCTATTCCCATCTGTGGGTCTTTGCCCTGCGCGCTGTCGAAGGTCGTGTACAAGGACCGCACCTGTAACAGGTCAAGTTTACGCCAGTCACAATTGCAATGGGTGGCAGAGAACAACTGGCTTTGAGCCCGGCACGCCAATGCAATGTCCAATAGACTGCAGCTGAATCGCTTTTGGCAAGTCCAGTCCTCTTCCATTTCTGATTTCTGTTTCATCCAAAGTAGGCACATCCCCTTGTTCAAATTCATGCCTATCTGAATCTTGCTGTGCTCGATGGACTTGGCGCGAAAGCCCTTGCTCTGCAAGTGGCCCCAGAACCCAACCTCGCAGAAGCTGTTTCGCAAGGACGGTCCTCCAAAAAAGCAAAAGTTTGACAGGCCTTTAAGGCATCGTTGGCATTGCCCCACTGCAAGTAAACCTGCACAACTTTGCGTTGAAGCCGCATTGAAGCCCAACGACAGACGGCTTTCCTGGCCTGCAAGTGTGTGTTGGCTTCCTGCTTTTCGATGTACAGTAGCCTCAGCGCAACACAAGCCCAGAAACAACCTGTTCCCATCATACAGAATCAGTGATCACATGTCGGCTTCCCAATGCATGGCGCAAATCAAACGCATTCCAAATTTGGTCAGCGTAGTCACCATTTCAAGTTCTGCGATTTCGGTTGCACACATGATGCACGGTCTTTATTTGTTGTCTGGGCAATTGGTCACTGGGAATGTGGTGAGTGTGTTATCGCTTTCGTATTTTCGGTGCATATGTTGTCGTTATCGTTTTTGGTGNNGTGAGTGTGTTATCGTTTTTCAATCGAAACCATGTGTCACGAATCCAGTGTCCATCCTTTACATATCTCCTTGGACCGATCAAAAAACACTCATTATATGATGCAGCAGCACCAAAAATGTCCAACTCTTGGGTGCCTCTACTCTAGCTTCAATCCGCTGGTTTCATATGGACGCCAAGCCGATCACGTCTCATGTTACTTGCGAGAGAACAATGCAATCCATAAGCAAGGAGTGCCCTTTGAGGGAAGCGTGTGAGTGAAAGACTTCCTACTTCAGGAAAACATGCCACGGCCACGGATTCGGAACCTCTTCGTGCCTTGAGTGACTTCTCTATCACCGTTTGCTGAACCTAATCCAGCGAACTGAAAGTTTTTAATGTCTCAGGCCCTGTGATGATCGGGGTTATGGCCACTGATCTGTTGAATCTCTCAAGCGTAACCTGCAGCGTCTATGCTGCTCTTCACGGTGGTGTCCGCTTGTTGCGGCACTCTGGTGCAACAACTCACACTGTGGCTGGGTGTAGCTCTGTCGTTGCTGCATGGTTCAACGTGGAGGCAGACCGTGTCAGAGTCTGGAAGGCAAGCCACGCAACAGTGTTGCACCATCAGATGTTCAAGCAGCCCAAGTTGGACAAAAATGAGGGTGCTGCAGATGCGCGGTGGCGGCATCTATCAACTCTATCTCCAATTCACGGATCTCTGCAATGTAGTGCATGCACCTTAGGCTTCCGTAGTGCATAAGCCATGAGACTAGAGCCGTTCTCATATGCCTCAGGCTGGAGCCAATCCTGCCGTATCACATCGCCCTCTTCGCAGGCCTTGCAGTAAAGCTCCTGCAGGTCCCCGACCTGCAGCAGCCAAGAACACAAAGGGCAGCCAGAAACCTTTGTCGTGCCAAACACTGGGAAGCGGACGACCTCTTCTGCCGCTTTACACTTCTCAATGGCCGACTCCATGGATTCCCGGTCTGACCTCTCCTCACCTGATTGTGCACAAAATTCTCCGAGCCCGATCCCAAACGATATCTTGACTTGAGTAGAGCACGAACCATCGTGACGTAAGTCGTGATCTCACTCTCGAACCTTGTTGCTATTTTGGATCCAAGCTCTACGCTCTCTACAAGCTGAGGAACCGGAGCTCTCTCAGTCAGCTTCGTAAGCATGATGCATCACATTTGGGCGTGATGTGCAGGACACAAACTTCTGCCACTCAATCTTCTCTTGCAGCTTCGACCTGGTGGTAATCGGCCGATGTGAACGTGGGCAACGAGCGATTGAAACCTGGGGATTCATGCTTAGGTCGGAGCTGTTCGTAGTCCAAACATCGCTTGCGCTCACCCTTCATGCCTGCCATGACAAAGCTGGTTTTACGCGTACCGCATGCTCAGAGCAATGTCAACTGGTCAGCAGCACGAGCAACAATCTCCTGCTCTTCCTGGCAAAACGGCACAACAGTTTGCAGAGGGCCACTTGACTTCACACACATCTGACCTGCCTCCAACCGCTCGGCTTCCAAGACACGATTTCTGCCTTCAAGCTCGATTTCCAAGCGCTCTCGATGGGCAGCCAAGGCATCCTGTTCGCTAACATGATGATAGCAATGACACAGCACATATGGATTGATGAATTCGCGGACTCGAGCACTAGATCATCTGATTACCTGTACGCGCCTGCTGCACACCAGCCATGATCGCGCCAAAGCGCAACGCCACCACTGATTTTCGTACACTTGTTACATAGCGATCTACAGGTCCTCTTCCAGCTTGAAGAGGCGTTCCTTTTCTTCATGGCGCCGTTGCTCTTCCGCTGCTTTCTGCAGCTCGTCCTGGCAACCCGCGGAGAATATCGCAAGATGGACTTCGCAGGCTTGTCACACAACATGGCACCTCCAACTGCTTTTTGGATTTCTTCTTTGTCTTCGGCATTGCACTTACTCAAAGGCAGCAAATCACAAGAGACAGTTGTGAGCATAAGCTTGCGAATTGATTGTTGGCACTGCTCTATATCCCTGGCCGGAGCCGTGTCCAAACCAACATCTGCTAGAACCCTTCTAACAAACTTTTGTAAAACAACACTCTAACTGCGATGTTGGCAAGCCCATCCAAGACAGTCAAGCGCATGCGCCAGGTGTAAACATGGTCATGGGGCATCCCGAATCTCAACAGACATGTGCAATCATATACCACTTTGATCGAAAATCCTTTGGACAAGGCCTGCTGGCGCCAACTTGCACGTCATCATTTGCTAGTTGTGCTGCAAGGCCGTGAAACAGCATGCACAGATTCTCAGTGAAACTTGGTGAGGCGCTGCATGCGCTGCTATACACAAGGATCTCGACCCGTGTTGCTATTGTGAATGTTGTGCAGATTCGTCCTGGTCATCTATATCACGTGGTATCATGTTTATTTGCAGTGATTGCCCCTTGTCTGATAGGCAGGTCACTCCATGGACCCCGCTCGACGCATGCTGCCGCTCGAAGGTCTCCTGAGTCTCACAATGTTCAGTTTCCAAACTTTACACAAAGCATGTGTTCCGTACTCTGTTCTATCACCGCCATAAATACGCATACTTGCTAGATCAAGTTTTGAGCGATGGACTTCTGGATGCCGGAAGGCTTGTTGCTGCTGCTTCGAGTTGGCGCAGGTGTCATCCCCAACCTCAGATGCTTCAGTTCGCATGTCACATGTCACTAGACTTCATCTGCTGAGGCAGTGTCGGGGGCAAGCCCATGTTCATAGCTGCTCCTGACCCAGGCCTGATACAGCCGCTCTAAATGTTTCCATCAGCTTAGCTTCCTGACATCTCAGGAGCTGACTGCTGGACAACCCGCATTTGCGGCTGTCCACCGTTTGCAGGCTTTTTTGCAGCTATTGGGTTCATAATACCCACTGTCGGCGCCGCACCAAAAACCTGCGCAGCATCAGTGTCAAGCAACCCGCACGCAGCAAGTTCAAATTCATGACACATGTGCAGGCAGTCGTATGCACACGTGCACCTTGTTGTAGTTCTGCTCGCGATTCACCAGCTCGAGCTTGTAGAACTGCATATCGTCCAGAAGCCTGAGTGCGAGCAGGCTTGACCCCTTCCGATGCCCTGTGCCAAAAACTTGGGCTGCAGCTTCTTGACTTGCGCAGACCTCTCATCCAAATCCTTTTCCAAATGGGCAATGAGCTGCAAGTCCTTCAGGGAAAGGTCTAACGCAGATGTTCCAAGCCCATCACTTGCACCTCTTCACGCGAGGGTCTTGACTCATACAATTCTTGTAGCCTCAACAACAACATCATGCTAAGAATGCTTGCATTCTTGTCTTCCAGCATGAGGTAGCATCACATAAAGTGGAAGTGCACGTGGAAACCCTGAGGAACGAACTCCAGAATCCTCTTTTGCAGCATATCAATCTGCATTTCCTGTTCATGCCGAGCTGAAGAACATGGCCGGAGACTTGAAAGAATGCCATTGTGCCTGCAACTGCCTGGCCCTGTCAAACTGCTGCTTCAGCTCGGCAGTCTCCTAGCTGGCGCCGTCGCTTGCAAGCCGATTCAGACTGTATGATTCAACATGAAGAGAGCCGGAGACTCCTTCAGGTGGGTTTCAAGGAGCTGCTCGACTCCTGTGAGATCAACTTTCCCATGCTTGCAAATGGAAGGCTCTTCAGGTACGTTTGGTACCTACGGATCAAAAAATCCGTTGCTCGGGCGGAGGTGTGCGCAATCTTGAAAGCGCTGCAGCCGCCAGAGTGCTGCACGGTGTTTTCCGATTGCCAGTGTGCCGAACATTTGAACTTGTGGGATGTTGTTGACGCACTTATGTCCAAACGTCCTCCAGGGCGTTTCTTTTTCTTGTGAAGGTCAAAGCTCATGTCAGCCGCACATCCGAGCTTTCGGAATTCTTGTGTCGGTGCCGTGAGTACGACAACCTTGCTGATCCTGCAGCAAATCATGCAGTCAGGGAAGCAGACTGTGTTCCTTCAACCAAGCTCGAGCTATGTCTGCCCAACAGACCGAAGGGAGAACTGTTGTAGGACAGCATCATAGCGTCCGTCCTCTGCGTGCTGAGCATGACAAGAAGGCTGTTACTTCGGTAGCATCTCGGTTTAAAATTTGTATTATACATCTATATGGATATACAGAAAATTACGCCCTGAGGGCCCACGTTTGTGGGGTTCGTAAAAAACACATATTTGAAGTATTTGATGGTTTTATAAGTTTTATGTACTTCTTGTGTCAATATAAGGGTTACCCTTTCAAATATCCTATGGAAAGTTCCTAGGAGTTAGTATCCTTCGTATTCATGATGCTAAGCATGTGGTAGATCACAGGAAGAATTTACAAGAGAGGCTCTGCAGGCTCTAGGGAGGCTCACAGGAAGCTCCCCAAGGCAAGAGTAGGATAAGGAGAGAGATTGGCTCGGGTGGAGGGGGGGGTGGTTCCAAAAAAATTGAAGAATATCCATTTTGTGTTGTTTGTTGTTCTTGTTTTTTTGCCACCACCCCCCTCCGAACCGAATCCTAGGACTCTCCGGAGCCTCTCCGGCCTTGAGGCTTTCCCGGAGTAATAGGCGGGGAACCGTGTCCCGGAGGCGAGGCGAGGAACCTAGGCTCGAAATTATTGCCAGAGCTTTCCATTTTTTCATATACTATGACTTCAAGTTATCCCTTTTGGGGTTTCTTCGAGACAAGCAAATTGAGTAAATATATTGTTCGTTGAACCAATAAATTCTCAGCCTTTTCGTGCTAATCGATTGGGAAGTTCGTAACATTAAGCGCCATGCGAAACATCCACGTGCCAATAAAAGCAATGCTCATGCTCACACTCGTTAAAACACATCAGAGACGCCACAAGAGGATACATGGAAATGTCGAAAATATGTTAGGCATGAGCAGATGTCAAGTATGTATGTGCATCATATATACATATATAACACCAGTAGTTGCAGGGCTCGCAGCTTTTATGGAGTAGTATAGACTCATATTCTATAGATTAACATGTATGGTTCTGTTTTATGGGTTTTTGTGTGTTCAGGATCTTTTTATTCTGAGAGTAGATGCACCCCCTCTACTGATACGTACACACATGAATACGTAGACCAATGCGCTCATACTGAATGCGAAGATGATAAATTCTTGAAAGTAGTGGAGATTGAGAATGCTCTATCTATCGAGCAGTTTGAAATGCCCTTGCCGGAAAACACAGGATAACAAAATGCCAGGGTTTTAAATGGAAATTCGAGGTGTTTCCATCCAAGTTGCAGACACGATCTGCCTTTCGCATACATACACACGTGAACAGATAGACCAGGGTATTCAGACTTAGCGCGATAATGATGATTGGTGCCATTGGGGAATTTGCTGATGTTCTGCTGAGCCCTTTGAAATGGGCTAGCCGGAAAAACACAGGACTATCCACCAAGGCAGCCCCAAAACAAGTGAAGGGTATTAGCGGATATATATAAGAGTGACTGTTGGATTCTTCGGATACTAAGAGTATGGAGAGAGAGCATACCAAATATCCGCCGACCCCGCTCTGC